AAATCACATAGATATTTTTTTCTTTTTACCTCTAATTTAATAGGGATTTGTTTTCCTCTAATGTGTAATTTTCCTCTAATGGGTCTATTTTTCTCTTGTAGCATATTAAATGTAAAATTTTTATTTCTGGAACAGATTATTTTTCAGTGTTCCATCTAGATATAGCCTATAGCTACCATTTTAATTGTTGCTCTATATCAATCTGGTTTTCTCTACTCAAGATGACATCAATCATAGTGGAACTTTCCTTCATTGCTTATAAGAGTTGAAAGCACTGTTTTCTTAAAGATAAGTCTTACTTTAGTATGGTAAGTGTCATTTTTTTGTAGTGTTTCTTTACATAATTTAGTAGAAGTGTGAAGACAAACTTGCCAATTCTTTACATAGCTAAACCAATCTATCAATCTATCTATCTATCTATCATCTAGCTATCTATCTATCTATATTATTATGACAAATAGTAAAACTCTAGGTTAAAAATGCTTCCCCCCCACACACACAAATTGGATAAAATTACTGCACTGTTGTCAGCACACTGTGAAACTGCTAAAACCAGAAGAATATAGACTTTTACTGCTTTATGTTTCTCATTATAAGCTTTTAGATTTCCTTATTTATGACTAGAAACCCAATGCATGAAATTTGTGCACTGGGGGAAGGGGGATTCCTCATCTCGGCCTGTGCCCTCTCGCAGTCTGGGACGCCTCAGGGGATATCTGCCTGCCTGCAGGTGGGTGTTAAGGAGCTAGGGGTTCTGGACTGTAGGAGGGATGTCTGTAAGCAGACATCCCTGGAGGGGTCCAGGACTGGGAGAGGGCACAGGCTGGGCTGAGGGACCCTCCCCCCACCAGTGCATGAATTTTATGCACTGGGCCTCTAGTATGGAATATTTAGTTTCAACAATAAAGACAGATTGAAATTTCAGAGATAAAGATGGAGTGGGAAGAAGTTTTTGCCTTAGCAGGATTATTTGAAATTGTGGGTAGGCAACTTTATTGCTAAATAATTATATTACAGGTCTAAAGTAAGTGTAATTTAAAGTGGTAAATGAAATTATAGCGTTATTGCGATTTTTTTACTTTAGTTAAGGATACAGATTTCAAACTGAATTCTGAATAATTCTATGGTTCTTCATTGCCTGAGCATACCCTGTAGATTGAAAAGAGCATTTGTTATTAATGGTTATGTAGGACTTAGTTTCCTGCCCCATCTGTGTTTCAATCTTTCAGACTTTGTTTCTTTTCTTCTGGCTTATATATTAAAGTTTCAGGTAAGGATCCATTCACTATTGAAAAAAGAAAAGAAGAAAGTATACAAAAAGGAGAAAAAGACATAAAATTAAAAATCAAAAGGCAGAGTAAAAAAAGAACGCCACTGCTTAAAATAGTGGATAAAGTCTCATTACTATGAGACTTTAAATAATTTTTAAATATTTTTAATGCTTTTCTTAAGAATGTATCATTTATCATTATATATAGTTTAAAAAAAAAGCAAAGGTTAATATAGAAATCCAATACACTACTTGTTCCCTAATTCAGCTCACCAACCTAGTATGTATCTTTCAACTTTTCCATATGTATACACATATAAAAAATATATAGAGTTTAAAATAACCCTTGAGGAGTTAAACTATTAATAAATTATTAGTTGTTTTAATAAGAGTTTTGGCTCCATACTCCAATCTGAATGGATGACCGAGCACTTTCCAAAGTCGCTGTTAACGTAAAGCAACTTAATTGGATAAATGGAGGCACTGGCTCAAAAAGGTAACTGATTTTTCACCTCCAGGTCCTTTGTGCCTAATTAAGATGTATGCTTGGAGATTATAGTGAAAATTAATTACTAATTTTTACAATTTGGTGTGTAGAATTCTTTGTTGAGAAGATATATTTTTTGTGTTCACTGTTTTATTATCTCAATTGTCAAAGGTTTGTAAGAAACTAACATAGGTTGTTATTCATTCTAAATACTAAAACTATTTCCCAAGGAGATTCTTTCATTTTAGATATATCTATTATTTTTAAATGTTCAACTTGTTTCTTCTTGGATATTGTAAATAGAAGGTATTCCAGAAAACACAAAACATATTCTATTCTAGGGGTGGGCAAACTTTTTGACTCACCACAATGGGTTCTTAAACTGGACCGGAGGGCCGGAACAAAAGCATGGATGGAGTGTTTGTGTGAACTAATATAAATTCAAAGTAAACATCATTATATAAAAGGGTACGGTCTCTTTTTTTCAAGTTTTATTCATTTCAAATGGGCCGGACCCGGCCCGCAGGCCATAGTTTGCCTACGGCTGATCTAGTCTATGTTCCTAAAAGCTGTTATTATAGACTAGAGGCCTGGTGCATGAAAAGATTCGTGCAATACACCTTTCCCTCCCCCTGGCTGCTGGCACCGGTTTTCCCCAGGACTTCACTCTGGCCGGAGCTGCCTTCCAGCCTGCCAGCCCTGGGTCCCCCACAGGAGGGCTGAATGAGGTCGGGGCAGGCGGGATAGTGCTGTCCCACCAAGCCTGCAGTATGCAAATTAGCCACCATCTTTGTTGGCGGTTAATTTGCATATCATGCTGATTAGCCAATGGGAGGTGTGGCAAAGGTACAGTCAATTACCATGTTTGTCTATTATTAGATTAGTTATTGTTGATAATTAGATTTTCATAACATGGTATATCTACTGATGTTCCCATATGCTCTCTCATTTTAAAGTCCCATGTGCTCCTAACTAATATTCTATTATCATAGCCATGCCAGAAAGCAAACAATTCTAGTATACTTTTTAACCAATTATGTGACCTACTGTTTTCCATGGCATTGGTGAAGAAGCAGACAAAAGAAAGGGAAGGTTTTCTTTACCACAAGAAGGTTGCACCTCTTTCTGCTCAACGTCAATTAAGTTGGGGAGTCTCTTTCTCCTCTCTCTCTCTCTCTCTCTCTCTCTCTCTCATCTTGCACACATACACAAGTATACACATAGAAACACACACAAATCAACTTATCCTAATCCACATTTCAAAGTAATAAACACATGCCTTCTAAAACTTACTTTTCTACATTTTCTTTTGTTTCGTGCACAAGATACTATTGAGCCTGAATTCTAATTCATTGTTATGTCCTAATACGTAGAATTGACTTCAGGTGAAAAATTTCTTAAAATATATATATAGTATTAGAGATGTCTCCAATTCTCCCTCCCCCTTAAGCTCCCTCCTTCCAGCCCCTATGTCTTCACCACCCTATTGCCCTTGAAAAAGTTCTTAACTTCAAGGATTCAGGGTTTCTAGTGAAGAATGCTCCTACTTATACTTCCTTCAAGAGGCTTTCTAAAAATTTTTTGAATTGATACCTATGTATATTTAGAGACTAGTTAGTGGCTTTAACTTTGTGTACCTCAGAATAGACAGATAAAGACTGATAATTACTGTGAGAATCTACCTAGAAATTTCTTAACCTTTTGTTTGTTTCAGACAAAATGGAACTTTTGACTGTTAAGCTGAATGGCTAGTTTAGTTTATTTTTTAGTTTTTAAATATGTTTTTATTGATTCCAGGGAGAGGAACAGAGAAGGGGAGAGAGATAGAAACATCAATGATGAGAAAGAATTATTGATCAGCTGCCTCCTACATCCCTCTATTGGGGCTGAGTCCAAAACTCAGGCAGGTGTCCTGACTGGGAATTGAACTATGACCTCCTGGTTCATAGGTCAATGCTCAACCACTGTGTCACACCAGCTGGGCTGAATGGCTAATTTTATTTTCCATTTTCAACTTCTGGACTTGACAATGTATATTAATGATGTTTTTCTGTCTTATCAGGCCTCAGAGAAAATGTATATAATGATTCATAGCTTTTAATGTTGATTCATGATAGATGCATATATTGCATAAGAGTTTTTCCCACAGCTCATCTTTGCTCTAAAGTTTAATATTGTAATTTAATAAAAATGACTTTGCGGCTGTGAAAGCCATCCCAGTAAAAGATATATGTATTCCAAAGCTGGTTCAGGTTCAGAGTTAAAACAAGATTATTTTTTTCCTATTGCCATGTCCGTCTTTACCTACCAAGGGAAATCACCTCTTCAAAGGAAAAGACAGTAAATCTCTAAATCTCCATATTTACTCAAGTCTTGAGACTCTGCAGGGCAAAAGCTGCCAAGTCTATAGATTTACAATGTTTTATGTTTTATGATAATGATTTCCTCCAAGGGCTCACTGAGATGAAAAGATAAATTAATTTATCCACTTCCAACCACTAGTAAAAGTTTAGTCCTCATTTCAAAAGCTGCCTTTAGAGCAGCTTCTGCACTATATAATTCATCAGCACTGATTAAAATTTAAGACCCTCTGGATATGACCATCTTGCACTGGGCCTATCAAATGGAAAGCGCTGTAAGAAAAGATGAGGTTAGAGCTGAAGAGGGCATTATGACTTTTTTCATGACCTTGTGATACTTCTACTACTCTTAATGATTATAACAACCAGTTACCTCCCACCAACTCTGTGCCAGGCACTTTCTATAGGTAATTCTCATTTCATTTCTCCAAAATTCCCAATGAGAGTCTAAGAACCATAAGGATTAGAGAAGATAAATGTCTTTCCAGAAATCACATTTTGTTACCAAACAGAATCAGAGATGAGCCCAGATTAGACTGATTCCAAGCCCTTAAGCAATTCAGCCTCCAATCTGCATTATATTTTATAAGTAATATTAACTTTAATGAAGCTGCTGAGATTTTTTAAATTTTTCTATGTAAAAATATACCTTGAGTCCAGCTGGTGTGGCTCAATGGTTGAGCATCAACCTATGAACCAGGAGGTCACAGTTCGATTCCCAGTCAGGGCACATGCCCGGGTTGCTGGCTTGATCCCCAGTGTGGGGCGTGCAGGAGACAGCCAATCAATGACTCTCTCATCATTGATGTTTCTATCTCCCCACCCCCTTCCTCTCTGAAATCAAATATAACATAAATAAATAAACATACCTTGAAAAACTTGATATATTTTTCTACTTTCTGTATTAATTTTTTTCCTTTTTCCCTTAAACGAGTAAATTGATGAGTTCCTTTCATAGCCTATTCAACATGTTCTATTTATATTTTTAGCTTAGTTTCTATTTATATTTTTCTTGTTTCTCATACCATAAGAAATTCATATGATTCACCTGATTTGGGGCATGTAGTGATCAACGGACCAATAACTGTTTTCAATAACACGTCACAGCACCTTCCTGCCTCCCATTTTTCATTTCGCCATTCTAACCATACAGATTTGCCTTCTGTTGTTACTAACAACCTTTACTCCCACTAATCACTATCTTCTATTGCCCTGCTCAACCCTGGAAAACTGGACCACAAATAACAGAAATTAGGAATACTTTGAAATTTGGGGCTTCACGTTTTGAATGAAATGCCTAGAAAATGGTGTCATTCACACACTCAGTACAATGCTTTAAGAGACACTTTAAACCCAGAGTATAGCCACAGAAGCAATTGTTGTAATTGTCATTACTGAAAATTAATATATGGAAAGCACTCATAAGATTCATACATGTCTATGCTAGTGGAGAAATCATGAACTATGTATGGGAAAGGAAGAGATGATATCTTGGAACCCAACACTGGTGAGAACCACACCAGAAATCTTGACCATTTTTAAATAGTCAGGAATACAGTTTCTACTGTTCTTTGGCCAAGAGGATCATGACCACAAACAATGTGGGTCAACTTGTCAAATATTTCCTGGCTGAACCCTACAATTTTTTAAACTTTAAAAAAATTAAATAGAATGAAAATTATAAAAATTAGAAAGTTTCATGTCTCTAAAGGTGAAGACTAGCCTTCACCTTTGGGACAGATGGTTTTCTTTAAAAAAATGCACCATTGTAACATTTATTTATGTAAGTTTAAAGCATTTCTGTATACTTTAATGTTGATGTTACAGATTATATTTTATAAGTGATATTATCTTTAATGCTGATGTAAATGAAAATTGCTGAGTGTAAAAGATATTAAATGTTGTAAAGTTAAAAAAAATATTTTGGTTAAAAGTTTTATTTTTGTTCCTTGGTTAGTGTTGGAGTGGGAGTGTTGTTGAAGAAAAGAATGGGGATGGGACGTGGTTGAATTATTTTCCATTCCAACGAGGCACATTTTTGTTGGATTTTTGAGTATTGTTTCCAATACCTAAAGTTTTTCTTGCCAGATCATGGAGATTCAGTAAGCAAGAAATTCTGCTTCAATGTCCAGTTGATCACCTGTGGCCTGGACCTGTGGAGTAATTTTCCAAATTTAGGTAAAGACTCCAAGACTGTTTTGGGAATATTGAAAGGCCTGGAATGTGCACTGATAATCTTATAAAAACATTTCTACCAGTAATAAAGATAGATACACTTTCCTTTTTCTCTAGGATAATAAACACCAGCCAAAGGGAGCCAGGACAAGAATTGCAAGAAAATAGAGGGAGGACAAAGACTACAGTTTTGAGAATATATGGGACCCTTATTGGAAGATGCCAAGAAATAACTTGTTGATATTTATCAGTCAGAGGAGATCTTAGAATCCTTGTATAGGAGCATGAAAATCATGTATAAACCTAACAAATACAAATAATGAGAAACTAAACTTACCCTATAGGTGCAAAATACAAACTTCTAAATTAGAGACATGTCTAGGTAAGAAATATTGTAACCTGTAAAGAATATTTTTATGGGTTTATTTTAGCCAAACTGATGATGATTTCCATAAAGTGTTAGTTTTATGCCCTCCTTTATACATTACAATCAAAATAAAATATTTGGTTAGAGTATCTAGAATTATCATAAATCTACAACAGAATTATATTTGTATTTTGGTTCTTTTAACCAACTATAAATGAAGAGAAACATTTTCCAGGTCCAGATTCCAATCCTAAATAACATTTGCATTTATCTGTCATGATCTTCAGTATCCTTTAGATGGATTCAGAACCTTAGTACTTCTTTGCCTGTTACTTTGACTTTTGAAGAGAACAGGCCAGCTATTTTGCAGAAGGATTTTTAATTTGGGTTTTCCTTAAGCTTACCCATGATTTCATTTAAGTTATTAATTTTTGATGAGAATGACAAAAAAGTGATGCCGTGTCTATCTTAATGTATCATATTAGGAAGCTAATATGCTGTTAATTTTACCTGTTAGTGTATATGTTAATTTTGATGGTTTTGATTTTATACTGCCACATATTTATAGTAAGAAGAAACACACAAGAAGCCATTTTCACTTAAGAATGTCTTTAATAAAGCAGTGAAAATTACTTTTTAAAATATCTTGACCGTAGAGGTTTCTTAAAATATTTATTGTTATAAAATGAAATGGGACATATGTAAAAAGCATATCTACAAACTGCTTATATATGACTAGAGGCCTGGTGCATGAAATTCATGCACTTGGGGGCTCCCTCAGCCCAGCCTGCACCCTCTCACAGTCCAGGAGCCCTTGGGAGATGTCCAACTGCTGTGGAGGCAGGAGAGGCTCCCATCACCACAGCTGCATGCACCAGCCATGAGCCCGGCTTCTGGCTGAGTGGCGCTCCCTCTGTGGGAGGGCACTGAACACTAGGGGGCAGCTCCTGCATTGAGTGTCTTCCCCCTGGTGGTTAGTGTGCATCATAGTGACTGGTCATTCTGCTGTTGGGTTGATTTGCATATTAGCCTTATATTATCTAGGATGGTAGTTGTGTAGAAAAGTGCTGTGCACATTTTTTTCACACAAAGACATTTTTATATGAAATGCCAATTGAAAGACCACCCACAGTTATTCAGATATGGGTATTTGGTAGATATTTTCTAACAAATAATTTAATTAAGAGTGCAACTTCAAGAAAAGAATAACTGGAAGATGGTGGCATAGGTAAACACCGGAAATTGCTGCGTCGCACAACCACTTCAAAAATACAACTAAAAGACAAAACGGACATCATGCAGAACCACAGGAAGGCTGGCTAAGTGGAAATTCTACAACTAGAAGGAAAGAGAAAAGCACACTGAGACTCAGAGGAGGTGCGGTGTACCCATATGACTGTAATCTGATGAACAGAATTAACTGGTGATTATAATAGAATCAGGGGCATAGAAAGGGAGTAGACTGACAATTCTCTGGGGGAAGGGTGTTTGGGGGGTGAGGGAAGAGACTGGACAAAAATCGTACACCTATGGATGAGGACTGTGGGGAGGGGTGGGTAAGGGCAGAGGGTGAGTTGGGAACCGGGTGGAGGGGAGATATGGGGGGAAAAAAGAGAAGCAACTGTCATAATCTGAACAATAAAGATTTAATTTAAAAAATAAATAAACTATCATGTAATTTTCTATTACTAACAGTTAAAAAAAAAGAAAAGAATAACTGATGATATTTGTCACCAATGATAGTATTCAGTCTTTGAAATGAAAACTGGAATTTTGGAAAACTTGTATCTGCCACCTGAGCTTGAAAACTTTGTAATACTTATGTCCTTTTTTTTTCTTTTTTCTTTTTTTTTTTTTGTCAGGATACCATTAGTGACATTAACAATATGAATCTTTGGTATTTTATAATAAAATGAGTCATAATTTTGAATATCTGTGCAATTTAGCAAATCTATATTTTCCAAATGACCAAAGTATACTATGACAAAATCATGTATAAATAAAATATCCATTTAAAATGCAAGATAAGCCAAGGCAGTTTTATATAGCAAGCTTATGAGAACTGTATTGATATGGTTTTAAGTTCCATATTGCAGATGTCCTTTAAGTAACTACCATTATGTTGGAGACTGGGTTAGAAGAGAGAAGGGATTAAATGAAGAAGAAAAAATAAAACAAAAAGAAAGACTCATGGACACAAATAACAGTAAGGTGATTGCCAGAGAGAAAAGGGGTAGGGGAAAGGTAGAAAGAAAAAGAGGGAATAAATAGTGATGGAAGGAGACTTGACTTGTTGTGGTAAACACACAACACAATATACAGGTGATGTATTGTAGAATTGTATACCTAAAACCAGTATAATTTTATTAACAAAATTCACTCCAATAAATGCAATATAAATAAATATTTTTTAAAAAGAAACTACCACTATTGAATTTTGCTATGCTACCCAAAATACCCACCATTATCTGAAGCAGCAATTAAAATACCCTTCTTTTTCCCAACTACATATCTATGTTAGTGAGTACACTTAAAATATCACATTAGTTTAAATGCAGAAGCAGACTAGAGAATCTGGCTGAAGAGCATATAACCTAGGAAGAGATAGAGGGGGAGGGGTTCTCTTCAAATCTGAAATCTAGAGAATAGAATTATAGTTAACAGTTTGGGGGGAGGAAAAAGTGAGTGATCAGATAGAAGAAAATTTACTAATTCTATTCTTTAAGTGTAAACTTTTCCTTTTCCCCTCATTTTTATCAATTTTGAATGTTGTTGCCTATTTGGAATTTTCTCACTAAGCAAAATAAATATTTTAAAAAAGAGAGTTCAACCTAAACCTCTATCCTTTCCATAATTTAAGTAAGACCTATCATGGAATTCTCTGTAACAGACCATGAAAAATCCAAACTTTATGTGCTTACACAATTTTTATTCCAACATTATAATTACTTACTAGTACACTGCTATAATCATCTATATACTTTCTTTTAAACTCTATGTTACATAAGTATACAACAATGAAAATATGCAAGAAATTTTCAACAAATGCAAACTATATAAGAAAAGATTTAATATGCTTTGTGTGTCTGCTTGTTTTTTGAAATTAGAATATCAACATGTATTTGGTGCTTCCAAACTCTGAAATAGGCTATTTCTTAAAAACACAAACATGGGAAAGCATAACAAGTGTAATTCCTCCCTCTCCTATGAAAAGAAAGTTTATGCCACATCATGTTGCAAATATAACTAATGTCATCCAATAGTAAAAGAAGCTGAAAGTTCTTGTCATTGTTTAAACTATAATCTTCAAACTATAGCAGTCTTTGGAAGGGAAAATCTGTATTATAATTTTA